CCAGAAAAAGTTGTGTATTTTTAAGTATACTGTATGTAGTGATGTAGTGTATACATCTGTATTGAGATTTCATGTCAGGCAATGGGGAGTCATATTCTCCTGTGCATGTGGTACTGTGTGTGCAAATTTGCTTGAAGAAGTTCAGTTGAATAGAAAATTGATGCAAAACTTTGAATTTTGATACATCTCCAAGGAAATTCTCACTTTAGGATGTGAACTCTTGCCTTTTGGAAGTAGGCAGCTTCTCACAAATCTACAGTAGTGGTTCTAGCTTTAGAGTCTGATGATGAAGTCTGTATGCATAATAAAGAGTGTTCTTTCTCTGACTGATGGTTTTGTTTTGGGGAACGCAGGATCAAAGGTGGCAGATCCATGCTGTTATGGACATACCCAGTTCCATCTCCTGCCTGACAGACTGAAGCGGGAGAGGTTTATAAGAGAGCGTCTCGAGGATCAGATCGAAGTTGTTTATCGATCGAATGGAATTGCAAGTCTCTTTGCCTGGACAGCAGCACAAGCAATGTATCAAGGTGAGATAGTCAGCTGCACAAATTTTTTCTGGTTATGAATGCCTACGTAAAGTTTTTTAACCTTTTCTCCCCAACACCTTATCCTTCTGTTTCTTTTTACTGAAGACTGTCTTTTAAGTAAGTCTTTACAGATGTAATTGAGTTAATAAAAGAGTTAGTTAAGTCTTGGAGTAGTTTTATACAGGGGAATTAAATACAGAGAAAAATATTTTTACATGTATAACAGTAAGCCTGGGCAAAAACCTCAATCGTTTTCACTTGCTCTTTCCTCCTTAAGAGGGAAATGCAGTAGACATCAGGCAATTTTGGTTTTTTTTCCTTCTGGAGCAACTATGTTTCTTAGCCCTTGTTTCAGTAATTTTAATTCCATGAAAATACTAGGAATGAAAGAAAAATGCTGCCAGCCTTACATTGGGATTTTATGCCCATATTTTTCTAAAATAGTCCCAGAAGACCTGAGTGGTTAGACCAGATCAGTCTTCCACTTTTTCTTGTAAATACAATTATTGTCTAGTGTTAGTGTAAGACACCTGATGGCTTGTAGCTTCACTTAAGGAACAACACATGTAAGAAAATTCTCTGACTGTAGTGTATACTGCTGGCTCTGCATCATTTTTTTTATGTAATGGAGTATTAGAAAGCTTTCTTTGTGCATGTAAAATATTGAAGTCAAGTCAGAGTTGGTCATCTGAGAACACATAATGAGTTGTAAGGGCAACATTATTCAAATCTATGACTTTTTTTTCCTTCTGTAACAGTTTCTAGCATTGTGGCACATAGTAATAATACTCTTAAAAATATCTGTGTATGTACTAGTGCACATGCTTAAGTATGTAAATATTTTTTACATACTGTTAGTGCTCAGTAGAGTTTGTTTAAAACACTAACACTTACTAACATAGTGTTCTTGGTGTCTGGCTGGTTACTATAGTCACTTATATTTGTGCATATGTGTGCATGCTTTTGTCATGAAACAAATGCTCGCGGTATCTTGAGAGACGTGAAATAGCAAAAAGACATTTTCCCTCAGCTCCTTTGCAAGACTTTGGATGCATTAGTAACTTAACTGCTTTGGAAAAGTCACTTGGCTGATCAGTGAGTGATTTTAATCAACTGTTGATAGGGAGCTGGGTACAAAATGCAAGTATGCCTCTGTGTTCCTGATCTTTGCCATAACCTTAACTAGTGGTTGTGTTTTGGTTAGTCTGTGTAAAAAATGCTTGTGTTGCTGAAGCAGACAGGACGTTTTCCCTACTAGGTAGCTGCTGCAATTCCCAGAGTTTTTCTGTGTTTTGGGACTAGCATTTAGGTGTGCGTGCTGATAGAAATCTCAAGTCCTGTTGTATTTGTTTGTTTTGTAGGATTCTGGAATGAAGCAGATGTGACTCGTCCTTTTGTATCGCAGGCAGTAGTGACTGATGGAAAATATTTTGCTTTCTTTTGTTACCAGCTAAATACTTTAGCACTATCTGCAGAAACTATTAAAAACAACCCTCGAAAGAATATTTGTTGGGGTACAGACAGTAAACCACTGTATGATGTTGTGGAAGATGGTAATGTGAAAGGCTTTAATGATGAAGTTCTGCTTCAGTTGGTTCATTTTCTACTAAACAGACCACAAGAGTTGTAAACCATTAAACCAAACATAAAGTGTGTACCTGAACTTCATTGTGACTCCATGAAGTATAAGGTATGCTATGCCTTGATTTATTCAGGTATTTGTCTAGCAAACACTATATGCATATTTTATGTTATTTGGGCCTTCTTTCTTTTTTCTTTTTTAATGTATACTGTACACTGGCAAATAAATGGCTGGAATACCTTAAAGTCTTTTTGTATATTTACTCTTAAAAGCCTTCTCTGCTAATTCACTGTTATGTGGGCATGTTTTTTAGCAGATCCACAGGTCCATGTTAAACTGTCACAACAGTTAATTCATATGACCATCTCAGTATCACTAGGAAATAGCTGTCTTGATACTTAGCACTAGTAATAAATTTCTAATTTTGTACCCGAGTTAAATGCTTATTCATTCTAAAGAGAAAGTGAACTCAGAATAAAAGTGTTTCTTAATGGATGGTTGTCAATTTAGTTATACAACAATTTAGTTATATTTAGTAAGAGAAATCTTTAGATGTGGTAGTACAGACGTGATGAAACTTGCTTCCAGAGACTGTGTTGTGAACATGCATATACAGTTTTAAGCTGTCACCTCCAGAATCACGGAGAGAACTCTCAAATGTATTTGGAGTCTACAGTTTCCCTTTTAGTGTGGGTCCTTGATTTCAGCTGTTGATATCTTGAGTTTTCATTGCTGATACTTGCATGTCTTAGGAGTGTTTTTAATAGACCACAGCTGAGCCACAGCTAGGATGTCTGAATGATAAAATACAATGTTGTACAGTCATGGAGTAGTTTGGGTTGGAAGGGACCATTAAGAGTCATTTATTTCAAGCCTGTAGTGAGCTGGGACGTTCTTCAGGTAGATCAGGTTGCTTAGACCCTGTCCATCCTGACTGAACGTTTCCAGGAATGGGGCATCCATCTACCACCTCTCTGAGCATCCTGTTTTACCATGCTCATTGTAAAACACAGTGTATTTAGCTTGGATCAACCATCTTTTTGTTTAAAACATTACCCACCTTGTCCTATTGAAACATGCGCTGCCAAGCTATAATGACTGGTAAGGGGTTTTTAGCTATCAACAAAGTGTAGCTGGTTCTGAGATAACTAAGTGTGCCTAAAATTTTGTATAATTTCATCCACTCTGACTCTTCTGGAATTTTCCTGTGTTCTTGCAAAGAGGCAAGTAGTTTGTTGTTAAACAGAGTACTGAATCATTGAATTACTGGCCTGCACATTCTTGAGTATGAGCAACAGCCTGCTTTCTGTGGTAAAGTGGCTTAAAAAGTATTTTGTTAATGGAAAACCAAGTAGTTGTAGACCTTTATGTGACTGGTACTTTACTGTGTTGTAAAGTGTTGCCACTTTCTCTAGCATCCAGAGATAAGGTAAGCAAGCTGTGTACAAGCACTGTTATTTTTTAAGAGAAGTCCTTAATTGCTCTTTTTGTTTTGACAATGCATGACTGTTCTAATAACTTCTAATCCTTGGATTACATAAATGTTCCTTATAGTAACAGAAAATAAACTGGTGGGTAAGAATGTTGATTATTGAGAATCATCTTTGACCTAGCTTAAGATGGAGTGGTTGATACTTGTCTGGTATGATTAAGGGATAATACAAAGTGAATGGAAGGATATGAAAAAAAGCAGTTGGATATTTAGACCCTACTGCAGTTTTTACAGTTGTAATTTTACATAATGTAACATATTACAGTGTGTAATTTATGTTATATATTGCAGGTGTAATATGTTACTCTCATCAGCTTGAGATTCACTTGAATTGCATACAGCTAGTGGTTGTGAAAACTGACAGGTACAGTCAAGGAAACTCCTGCTCTCAAGGTTAAAAACCACTAGTTTCTCTGTGATTTGGCCTTTTGTCTATCCTGAGGCTTCCGCTGTAGTAGAGCAAATTCAAAGAATTTTTCCTTGTGCAGCTTTCCTAGTGAGTGAAGTATCGCTGTAGATGTGTCACTCAGTAGTAAAACCCAGGTGTTGGGACTGAGGGAGGAAGGCTTAGCATGAGCTGCTGCTCTAGTGAATGTGAAGTACCAGCCTAGCTTTCTTCAGCTTTCTGCAGCAGGGGGTACTCTGGAAAAACAGTGGGTGGCACTGTTTCACCTTCTACTGGGAAAAAACTGACAGGCATTGTTCTTTATCACTGACTGACTGAGACATTGTAATGTATGCAGCTTTGTACAGCAATATTTCATCTTCAAGGCAAGGTTGGATGGGGCTTAGAGAAAGCTGTTCTAGTATAATGTGTCCCTGCTTGTGGCAAGTGGGTATGACCTAGATGTATTTTAAGGTCCCTTCAAACCCAAACTATTTGATGATTCTGTGATCTTGTACTTATGTGTGCAGGGTGCTTAATGCTGCCTTACGATGATAAAGTAAGAAAAAGAAAAGAGAAAAGCTCTGGTTTTGTTTGGGCTTTTTTTAAAGCATTGTATATTTATTAAAAGCTAAAGAAATAGCTTAGAAGCTGCACTGTTCCTGTTCTTCAGCTCTGTTACCAGAAATCCCCCATGACTGTACTCCTCTAAGTCTCATGGGAACATCGTTCTTTAGCACTTTTATATAGAGTTTGCTGATTAAAAGCAACCAAAAAATGGTAATTCTAAATCACAGCTTGGAAATCTCCAAGTTTGGATCCTTTTTCCTGTATTAATTTCTGCTCAGGCCAAGTGGAGTGTAGCACAAGGGAACATAAGCTGAAATCTATAAATAAGATTGGGTTTTGCATAATGAGGCAATTTTCTGTAGTACTGAACTATTTTGCTTAAAACTTTTATCACCTTCAGGTAGGTTACTTATCTATAAAATTCTGCCTGCATTGTTTCGTATTATGAGGCCTTGAGTAGTGACTTGGCATGGAAAATTCAAGCAGAGAGGAAGAGATGGGAACCCCTACTCAGGGTCATGTTGCACCAATAGATAGCTCTATGTCCTTTCAGACAGGAGAAGGAGCTGTAACATTTATAGCCTGCTTGGTCATGTTGAAGTTGGCTGAAGTTTCTCCTGATATTTCTTCTGTACTTAGGTTTTCTGTTGTTGGAGAAGACACACACTCATTTTATTGCAGAGAGGAAGGTTTCCTTCTGGAGTTCCATGAACTGGGTTTATCCTGAGACAAGAGCAACTCTTGGAGTCAGCTATTGGTGAGAGAGTCTGCTGACCACTTGATATATTGGCAGCATTCCTCTGATGGACATAATGAAAGTAGCTTTCCAGTATAGTATTAAAGAAGCCCACCCTGTTCTCATTCTGGAAATACTGGTCATGAACTCTTGCAGGATGTTAGTAAATGGAGGCTAGTAATGGTTACAGGGGTTTTTGCCTTCTCTAGTATACTTACCAATTGAAGTTTACTTGGTAAATACACAATAAAATAATTTTTTTAGAACTGAGTTTCTTGAAAGCATCTGGCTGTCCTACATCTAGAAGTGGGTTAAGAAGAGTTACAAGCTACAAGGAGTTAGTATATGGTAACTACTAATACATTTATTAGTGCATGTTGAGGTGCAAAGGGAAGGAGTTGTGGATTGTGGACCTCACTACATACTCCTACTGGACCAGGTGTTTAAAATTAAAGGAATTATTTGTATTTAATTCAGAGTGAAGGAAACCAGTCTAAAGTATGCCATAGTATTCACAGCTGGGTAACTAACCCAATTGGTCTCAGAGCAGGAGTTTGAAGATGTGATGTTCAAAATGGTTTCCTTTGCTTTGAAGATAATCTGGGTACCAATATTACCATTGGTAACAGATACTTTATGATGAGTTTATTCACAAACACTTAGAAAAACACTTGAAGAAGGCCGACAGGCAGAATGCATGACATGCACATTTTTAAGTCTCTGCAGGACTAAATGCCCAATAGTTTATTCTGTTGGAAAGATAAATAATTCTTTTTATACTGGATAGACAGCAGCTTTATGGTGTCTGCTCAGCTGTATTTACTTATAAGTGTCTGCAGTAATTATTATCTATCCAGGTTTCTGCATAGTTGGGAGCATTTGTTTTTAGCTATATAGTGAGCATTTAGCTATGAGTGAGCATTCATTCTTCATCTTTGATCATTCTTTTAATAGCTGTTTGAAGCTCAATTTATTGAACTAAATCTCTTACAGAATCTTCTCTGTATTACATTTCTCATTCCTACAAAGTTGTACCTGATTTTATTTCTTTAGAATGAAGAATTGATCTTAATGTGTCTCTTTAAAAGAGATCTTCTATGTATTTCTTTCCTCTTTTTATGCTTTCAGCATTCCTTTAAACCAGTAATCAAGTCAGTACACTTTATCACTGCTCTCAAGGGACACAATATAGGATTGTTTTCACTATTGGAAAGCATAGCATATAACACAAGACTGTCTGCACTGCAAATATGCATGCTTTTTTCAGTGAGATCCTGGTGCAGGTTTACATTTCAACCTCAAATTTCAGCCTGTAAAGGCTTTTTGTTTGGTTGGGTTTTTTTAAAAATCAGTTTCTGCACCAACACATATCTCTAGGTAATTGGAGGTGATTAGGAGGTGGAATTTTAAAACTCAGGTTATGTCACTGTTTAGCTTGGAGAAGGGAAGGCTCAGGAGAAATTTTATCCATGTGTATAGGATGGAAAGAAGTGAAAGAGATTTGGCTAGGCCTAATTCAGTTGTGTCCAGTGAGACGGAAAGAGGAAATGGCCAGAAATTGAAAATCAGGAAGTTCTATTTGGAAGTTTTTGTTTAGTTGTTTTCTTTCTCTAATGGCAATTGAACTCTAGAACAGATTGCTCTAAGAGGGATGTGGAGTTTCCATCACTGGAAATATTTAAAACCAGATGGCTCAGCCCTGGGCAACCAGTTGTAGGTGACCCTGCCCTGAGCAGGATGAGCGGACTAGACAACAGGTGTCGTCCAACTTTTACCACTCTGTAATTCTGTGGAAATAAATTACTGCTCACCTTGTCGATCAGGCACTATGTGTAGGAGGAAACCATGTGCAAAGATTTGGGTAAATAGTGGGTGTTGACCTGGACCTTCTCTCTTCTGATCTTTCCGTGGCTGTCCATGTTTATGCAATTATTCAGCATAAATTTTACTTAATATGCTGCTGCAAATGGCGTACAGTACATCTCCCTTTCTTGACAGAGCACTGACACCAAGAATACAGTTAAGACTATACACTGAATTTCTCTGTCTCCAGTTTTATCTCAAAGTATGTTTGTGTCTGAGCTTCTTATCAATACTGTACTTCCTTATGTATGACCTTTGACAGGCCCAGATGTCTTCCCCGTTTCAGAAGCCAGCATTAAGCAGTGGTGACTTGGTCCCTGTTGTCCGTATAGGAGTGTTGGTTTGTTCTGCATACAAGCATAGACAGCAAATGCAAAGATTTCCTGAAACTCCCAGTGGTAACTGCCCGAGTAGGATACCTCTCTTTCTGAAGGTATGTAGTGATTAATGATCCCCTCTAATCCAGTTATGGCTAAGAAGCTCATGTCAAATATTTTAATGTTGTTTCAATAAAGCAGATATACCTTCTCTCTGGAAAATCCTGATATCAAATACATAGACAGAACTTGCTGTAAAAAGCTTTTCAAGTTGATAATGAAGGCAAAGAAGAATGGGGAAAACAGCAATGCCTGCTTCTTGGAGAAATTATCCAGTAGCATAAAGATAAAATTGAGGTGGAGTTAAGAGTAAGATTCTTTGGTAGGATAATAAGATTTAGGTTTGTAACTGTTTACACAAGAGATATGCACTTAGATGCCTTTATTTTATAACTTTAAAATAAATAACACGGTATAATTTTACGTTGTTTCTTAATGACATATTATTTATTTGGAATGGGCTATTTTCATTATTATATGTTGTTCTTATTTGGAACTGAATATTGAAAAAACTCAACTTACATATTTAAGGTTTCAATAAAGTAGGCTCCCACAGGGATTTTTTAAAGTAGTTAATGGGTTTGATTCCTCAATCCTAGTAGTAATTTTAATTGAGTTTTGTTATAGATTTATCAGGTACGTAGATATTTTGATGATTCTTGTACTTTTAAAGGCACTAACCTGTCTTTTGAAAATGTTCCACCAGATTTCATTACAATACAACTCTAAATAAAGCATTTGCTTGGACTGGGCAGTACAGAATTTCTGAAGCGTGCTGCTTTTCCCTCTTGTAAGCATATTGTTATGCTGACCATGAGCTGAATTAGAACACAGCCAGCCTGGCATTCAGGAGGTACTAAACAAAATCAACATAATGACTATGTGTTTGGACAACTGCTGTCTCTGGAAATACACCTTTTCTGAAAATGTCATATGTGCACAAAGAATTATGGCTTAAATAACTATATTTTTGTTGCAAGGCATTTGATTTAATCTGTGCATGAATGGAAGGAGCTGCACTGAAGTTTCAATATCAAATGTGATATTGCCATTTTACCTTCCATTTTGAAAGATGTCTAGGAAAGGGCAGGATGGACTGAAGCACCTTCCTGAGTACAATTTTAGTTCAATACTGTAAGGAAACGTTTGGGAAGACATAGTCAAGTCACCAATAAGCAAGCTTTAACTAAGTGAACTAAGTGAATTGTGCATCTTCCAACTGTAAACAGAAATGTCTTTACAGGAGAGGGTAGATTATTTACATGATCTAAAAGTTACCAATTTGAAAAATATTAGCTAGAGGGATTAAACTAATGCAAAGCATGTGGCTCCATTGGTTAGGTAATATATTAAATATGAGATAAAGCATCTCTGGGCTAGACATGCTCTTACTAAAATTCATGACTAAAATCATTACTGACAGCCCAGCAGGGAACAGATTGAAATAGGAGTCTGCTGTCAGGTGTGTGTATGTGTTCAGAGACAGGGGTGAGTCCAGAGCATTTGGTTGCTGTGTGTAGAGGAAAGGGTGTGCATGGGAAGCCTGTAGCAGTCAGGTGAAGGATCCTTAGAGTCTTTTTTTCACCACCTTCATCCATTCTACCCTCAGGCTTTCCAGCCTTCGGGATCCTCCTTGGCTCTTGCCAGTCTTCCCTCTTGAGAAAGTACACCCTGGTTCCCCCAAAATCCTTCTGTTTAGATGGTTTTGGGTGTCTCTGAGCTGCACATCCTGTGCTTCAGCTCAGGCACGATAGCCACAGCAGCAGCCTCCCCTGTCAGTGCTGACAGCTCAGCCTCACAGATCCTGCAAGGGGTCTTTGTTTCTCGCTCATGTCCTTTAAAGGTACTTTCAAGTTTAGGTGAAGAATATGGTTGCTAAAGCAGACTTCAGAAATATTCAATAGAGAACCAGAGACGTGTCTTACTTAATGAAAGAACATTGACTAAACCATAGATGTCTCATATGTAGTAGTTTCATCCCTTTTGGAGTCTGCGGAGAGAGAAACCCCTCTGAAGAAAAATTCAGTCCTGAAATTTAATGTGTCTGCCACTGCTTGTTCAAAATAGTATTGATACTTTCAATTTTCCTCTTTCATCCAGTGATTGTATCTTTAATTCTTTCTTTCCTATAGGTCTTAGTTTATTGTAAGTTATTGTAAGTGTTCTGTAATGCTTAATAAGTGATAACATGGGAAATAGATACTTTGTGTCCTTCTGAGCTGGTTATCCCAGTCCTTTTGAACTGCTTCAAAAGGAAAACTGGGCTGGGTAGTCAAGCTGGCTTTCCCCAGGCATTCATGCAGACACTTCTGCATCCTTCAGAACATAACTCATTTTTGTAAGCAGAAGAAATATTAATTATTTTTAAAGAATCATAATAGTATCTGATTAACTTTTTTTGGCTTGGTCTCAGCCAGGAGGAGAAAGCTGGATAGACTTTTAAGTGTTCTCTTTTGGATTTTTTTTAGTTCTCCTTGTTTCAATTTTGTGTCTAGGGCTTAACTGTGTTTTTCTTTTACTTTTTTTTTTTTATGTTTTTCCCTTGGCACTTCTTTTCTTTCCTTTTTTTTTTTCTTTTTCTTTGCTTGGCAGTCTTCAGCAATATTTGAAGGAGTGGGACCGTGGCATACTGAAAGCTTGAAAGCTATCATGCTTGGGAAGGTTACAGAATTTCATTAGGGAAAGTCAAGGGAATTTTTAGCTACATCCAATACTTTAAAATAAATGTACTCAGTTCCAGTCTACAGAAATAGGATATTTAATTTCAAACCATTTTTGAGGTAAGCAGTTTCAAAATCCTTTAATGTTGCAGTTATTGTTTCCTGTGGAGAGTAGAACAGGTATGGTATATAATCTGTTTGGCAGAAGAGGATAAATCATCAGGATGAGAGAAAGCATGTAAATGGTGTACAGGCTGAAGCTGAAGTCTAGAGGGATGCAATGTTGACATCAGTGACAGAAGATTCAGAAGAGGCTGACAACATTTCCGTGGAGCTTTTACTGCTAAATTTTCATTATTAGTTACTACTTCATAACAGTTTTTGATGGTGTTGTGTACTGTTAATTCAAAGATAACTCCTTATTGTTTAGATCTGATGCAGATTCTTCATTATGTGTAGCATCAACAGAAATTGAGTAAATTATAAATTAATACAAATAAATTTGTGAATTTATAATTTATAAAGATGCTTCCCTTTGTGCTATATAAATATTAGAATGGAAGAAGTGTTTGCAGCATGACTTTCAGATGAGAACCTAATGGAAGGAAAGCCTCTCCCTTGAGTAAATGGGTAATTTTTTCCTTCAAATAAGCACCCACTTATTTCATTGTCCTCTGGGAAAAAAAGAAAAATAAAAAATTGGAATAGGAAAATGTTTATAGTACTGTAGATACAATCAAGGAGGTCATTTGTAGTTAGAGCAGCCTTATGTTCCTTACTTCACTGTCACTTCCAGGAAGACATTCTGAAAAGTTTCTGCTGCAGCTAACAGAATGGAATTTGTAGCATTTCCAAATGGGTTTGGAATATGGGTCTAAACCTATATTTATGACTAAAGATGTCTTCTGATTACAGTAGTATAAAAATATAAAGTACTAATAGTCATGTTATTCGTGTTTGTTTTTTATAAAAACCAGGGAAGCTCAATGCTTTGTGTTTACAAAAATCCCACAACAACAACAAAACCAAACAAAAACCAAACCAACCAGCCTGAAGAAAAGAGTATAAGTCATATATAGCCAACATCAGTTTAAAAATTAAAAATTTCCAGTTCCCTTTTTCTCGAACATTAATGTATTCTGTCATGAGGTGCTTATTAGGAAAGGTTAGAATGAGAACAGAATGTAATAAAGCTTTGAATTTAGCCTGACTTTGAGTAGAAGGTTGGACTAGATTGCCTGCAGTGGTCCCTTCCTATTTACATCCATCTGTGCTTTTACACAGAGAAGGAGGGGTAAAGTGAGGGTAAATCACTGCTCTCATGAGTGAGACCTCTTCTGTTACCTCTCAGAATGTTTGTATAGTGTGGTTTCCTAGAGGATGTATCTGAAGGCATTTCTGCTACAGAACTGTAAAGTTAAGTAAGTTATGTATACTTACACACTGCTAACAGTATTTTTAGGGGAAATATACATTGTCAATATTGGGATTGAATGTTTAGATAATAGCTCATTTGCTCACTGAAAATTTGTAGCAGAAGATGGCTGACCTCTTCAATATCTGCTTGGGTAACCAATTGTTGCTCTCTAAAAGAAATTTTAGTCACCCTGTCAGGAAGGAAAACTAATCTCTTTGATTTAGGCAGCCGGTCACGCAAGGGGCACACAGGCAACAACACAGTTCAAATGTACTTTCTGAAAAGAGCCCCATGTAGTGAAATAATTTGGGATCAGCTTTTGGATGTTTCATAAGCAAAACCAAGGTTTAACTTCACCAAATAAATGCTTCACAATGAATAATGCACCCAGCTGTAGCAGTAAATGCCATTTGCTCAACTGCTTAACTATTCATCCTTCTGACCAAGGTTTATGGTGGTGTGAAATGCAGCTTAACTTTGCAAATATGGAATGTATAGTAAAATTATCCCCTTCTGTGAAATTAGAAGGAATAAGCTTCTGATGGGTGTTTATGTACTGTGCTGACAGATTATAAAAGATTAAAAGGAAATTTTAATGAAGCGAAAAGCAGCCCTTGCAGCTTCTAACCCTCATGATTAGAGGAGCAGAAGCTAGGGGATTTAGGAGGATTTAGCAAGATGAGGTAGATGGGGCAGGGAGATTATGACCTGCAATTGGAACCAGTTGCTTGTCTAACTCATGTTTCCTTAGATAATGCATTTAGGGCTCCAGTTCTTTCAGCAAAATTGGGGGTGAAATAGGTAGAAGAAACATCATCTTGAAGTGGTTTGAGGCTTATTTTCACCAATCAAGTAACAAAACACAAAAGGCAAATATAGAGTAAAAACAGTGTGTCAAACAAACACAGAAAAATGCAGCATTTATGTTTCTGTAAAGGGAATATTGCAAGTCACAGGGCAATGCACTTGTTTTGCATACTTTTTGTGACAAAATCACCAAAAAGAGGTGTAAGACAATGCTTGGGATTATAACCTGAACTCTTCATTGTGTTTTTAGTATGTTGTCACAATAAAGAAACTTGGTGTGCAATATGGTCATATATTGTATAAATTATTGAAAAGGAAACATTTGGTTTAGACAGTAGTTATGCAGAATATGTATTACAGAATACTGAAAGCATTTGAAGAATCTAAAAGTTATTGGTGAACTGCGTTTATAGTTACTAATGAATAAAAGTCATTTGTAAAAAGCTTAGTCATTAGAAAATCTTAAAGTATTGCTGCCATGATGCAATTTTTACAAAACTGCTGAAGGATCACAAAGGATGAGTATAGAGCAATTATTTTGCTCCCTGTTGTTATATGGATTATGCCATTCATTATCCATCTCAAGTTCTAGGCAAATGTCACTTTTGCAGATAGGCTTATTTTCTATCCTTGTAAAAGGCCTACCACAGCAATGCCCCAAAATAACCGGCCTTCCTCTGTTGTCAGTGGAGCTTCCCATTTTGCTGCAGTCACAAGCTGTCTTGGGCTAAGGGCTCTGTGGGGTAATTTTGGACATTGTGCTTACTATTTTCCATTTAAATTCTCCATATTTTCCTGGAAACAGGATAGATGAAATTAATTTTTATATTATGCACTCAATAAAATAAAATTTCAGACTGTGTACTTGCACTTTCTTTTTTGAATTATTGCTGCTATTTTTTTAGGAGTTGTCTCATGTAATTCTCTGTCTCAATATAATCTATTCTTCAAACCCTAAACAAGAAAAAATATCTATAAAAGAGAGTTTAGAGGTTCACTTAGGTTTTTCCATTTGCAACAATCAATACAAGCTATCTTAAAAAGCAAAGCATTAGAATTGAAGCAGATGGATTGTTTCATTCAGGCATGTGGAATGAGTAGTAGGAATTGGTTCGGACATCTATAAATGCTCCTCTTGACCTCAGAGTTGTTAGATACATGTGGTTTTAGGCATCTTTAGATACCTAGGTGTATGTCATTAGAACCCTGAATTCTCAGCTTAGTTGATAATTATGCCACTGGAGTATCAGCCATTCAAGTAGTACAGAGGTAGTTAAGGACTGAAGTCCATGCAGGCCACTTGAGAGCCATAACTAAAAGCAGAGACTTGGAGGCCACCCTCAGCAATTCTCATATTCATAGGCATTCCCTGGTCTGTTGTGCATGTGAAGACAACCCTGGAGTGATGCAATAAAATAGAAGTGGCCTTTTCTGAGGCAAAAAGATGAACTAGGCTTTGCATTACTTTTCTCATGGCTAAGGAGTTTTCCAAGAATGCAGAAGGCATTCCTGAGAATTGTGCTGACCTGGATTTGCAGAAGAGTTTTAAATCTCTGTTTTCCAGAATCTGGAGAGGTTCTTAACCATTGGAACATTGATTTTGAGTTTTGCCCAGTTAAAGAGGAACTTGAGTGATATCTTTTGGGAAAAAATCAAGCAGTGTCAAGAAGGCTCACCTTGAATAGATACTCAAAGCACCAGTTTGGAGTAAGTATATCAGATATTGAAATGAAGAGTGCCTTGCTGTGGTCTAATTAGGGCACTACTCTCCAAGTGGATAGATAATTGTAATGACTTCACTTCTTATTTTAGGAAGGTGAGTACCTAATTTTCAGGATTGAAGAGACTGATTAAGACAGATGATATAATGGAGGGATCTCCTTGTTATCATCTTCGTAAGTAACACCATCCCACACCTTTCCTAATTGCTTCACTCCTGGCTAGTGCAGATGACTTCAAGTTATCTGGGCTCAGATTCTTTGTTTTGCTGAAGTTAGATGGAAGCTGTACATCTGACCACACCTTTTGAATTTGAAGCTTAGTAATCAACTAAAAAATCTCCTCTGTTCCAACTTTCATGAAAACTGAGAATCTTGATTTTAGAACCTGATTCAACTGTGTTGTGTTTCCTGAGACCATCTCTAGTGTAAATTCCAAATAATGAATATTAAACTATTCCTTAGATCTGCAGAGTATTAAACATGCAATTGTTAAATCTGGTTTTGCAAGATTGAAAGAGTCAAGAAAAATGTGCTTAGTTCTGGAGGCAGTTATAGCTCAAGTTTTAATTTCTGTTCATTGACAGTCCAGTGAGGTACTTATCTATTTACTTTTGAAATGTTCTGTGTAGGGAACTAACACAGAGCACTGTTTTTCACTCATCACAGCTGAAATTCAGCAATTTAACAAGAGGAAGAAATAAATAAGTATGTGCTAATGGGAACGGGCTTTAGGACCATGTTGACCAAACAACTTCTTATAGCAAGTTTCCCATGAACTTTAAGCTTCACATTGTATCTCCTCAATTGTTTGAGGGAAATTTAATTCAAACAACATTGCAGATTGGAAGAAGTGTTCAGAAGTTTGTCTGATTTTATTCTGGCTAATTTTATTCTTTATTTGCTTTATTCTTTATTATTCTTTATTTAAAAAAAATACTACATTTCTACAAACTTGATCAGCTTACATTCTTGCACCACCCTGGTTGCAACATTATTATTATTATTATTATTATTATTATTATTATTATGCACTTTTTCAAGTAATGGGGATTATGTAAATAGCTGTGATATTCTCTGCACTTTAGCCCTAGAAGAATCAATATGAATGAACTTATACTGTTTTTCATGAAGTGGGAGGGTTATTACAACTAGTATTTGAGCTAACTTGTTCAGTGTTTTATTGGTGTTTGTATGCTAAATTATATACATTTTGCAGATGTGTATAAAATGAAGTCTTTTAATTTCTGTCTGCTGATACCATGTATTATACTTCAGCATTAGAAGCTATAAATAAAGCTTGATTCAATAAATTTTCCTATTTTGTGTTCAAGTACCTGATATTAGAATTTGGCACAAGTTCTTTTTGGTTGTGCATATTAAAGGTAAGGGACACAGTGTGCTGTTAAGGACCACAGCAAAAATAATTTATGATCCTGTCGGCTCAAGGCAAAGTTGAGGCTACCTTTGTCGGCTTCTTTTCTATCAGACAGCTATAGGATAAAATAGTAGGAGACAGCTTATAGAAAAATCCATAACAATATTCTGAACAAACTATGCTTGTACAGATAACTGAACCTTATGAAGATTCCCCTGTTGGGTGTTCATTTTGTTCCTCTTTATCTTTCTGTTTGCTCTGTGAGATTAGTTTTGGCTTTGTAAATTGGAAACAATGGGATTGTCCTGAAAGTGTTGAAACTCCTTTGTTTAGACATTTTAATGTTTTTGATGTTATTGTAACCTTTCCACTGAACCAGAAGTGCTCCCAGCCTTCACTGCTCTTCTTGAGGGCTTCTGTAAAATTACTGAAATAAAGATGAGCTGTTGGTATTCTTTTCTTTCTTGATGTTTAAGAATGCACATCTCAAGTCTTTGAAGCCACCCATTTTGCAATCAAAGTAACAGTCCTGTGCCAGCCTGATATCTTTTGTCCACCTGTGAGGAAGATTAGGAGAGTCCAAAGGTATCAGTAATGCATTATCAGGGATGAATAACTACTGGAATGGTTTTGATGTTTGTTTCACTCACAATTGTGTGGTGGTGTGATATTATGAAACAAGTTCAGGTCTTGGTGGTGTTCTCCCCTGCATATCTTGCATACCATTCATTATCCTTCTGACTTGCTCTTTTTTCCTATAGTTTTCCCCTCAGCATAACTTATTCACACAGGAGCTACAAGATACTTGTTAGAGCTATGCATGAAGTACATCAGATTTCGAGATCAAGCTGTGACTTTTGACTGTGAAGAGCTTATAGGATGGTTTAAAACAGAAATAATTTTATAAGACAGTCATGAGACACATTGACATATTGCATCTGGATTTTTTGCAGCTGTTGAAAGATCAGTTGCAAAATAAGTGGAATTGACATACTTGATTTCAGCTCCTGTTTCCACAGTAGTTTAACCAAGGAACTGCTGGGATGGTATAGTTTAAACTACTGCATGATCAGTAGTAAAAAAACAAATGGGGAAATTCCTCCTAAATATGTTTCATTTTAAAATATGTAAAGATATCTACACAAATCAGCTTTGTAACTGTTATTTCTCATTTATAATGTGAAGAATGAGGGTTTTTTTCTGTGGTAATGAACACTTTGGGTCTGATATTTCAGTTCAGAATTGTGCTAAGACCTTGGGGGAACTCAACTGCATCAGACCACTCTGGTTTAATCTTAGAGCTTGATGAAGTTCTATAACAGCATTCAATAAAGAAAAAAATTAGTTTGTGAGGCCGGAGTGCTCAGCATTGAGGAGAATGTGTGTCTTGCAGGGACTCGGATTCATCAAAGATTTAGGTTCTTCAAATGCTAAAACATCTTTCTGCGCAGAGGTGCTTTTTACTGATGGTATTGGAGAAGAGAAAGTATCTCTCTGGACATTTGGTATATGTAGGAAATCTGTGGATGAAAGAGTGCATTTCTGCTTTTTTTGAAAAATAGGATGCTAATTTCTCCTTTCTTGTGAAATCAAGCTTCAAATTGAGAGAATTTTTCCTTTTACTCCTGACCCATTTTTCTTGCTAATAAATGGTTATTGCTGTCTGGGAGAAATAGATATACTAAAGCTTCCTATAAGTACCTAAAAATACTAGGAGGACAATTTAACCTTTCACAACATTTATATTATTGTGATTTTGTAGATGTTATCATTCTGATGAAAGGACCAAGCAGTAAAGCTCTTCGGAGAGGTTGACAACAAGCTCATTCATGAAACAAAACCTAGATAGAATTGGGCCATTGAGAGAGATGGTTTTACATCTTGGAAAGCAGAATTTTATTATTAGTTAGCATATAGTGTTCAAAATTATCTATAGCCACAATTTGAGTTGTACAGAGTGGCTTGGATCATTTTGGTTTCTTGAACAACAAAAAAACTCCTAAAAGAAAACTAAAGGAAAATGGATTTTTTTTCTTGAAGTGAAGAAGAAGATATCCTAAGCATTCATCCCTTCTTGCCTTAATTCTGTGGTTTAGAAAAAAGGAAGGCAAAAGAAAAAAGCTGTAATAATTATTAGCTATTTGAATAAATGTTATTTCTTTAATCTAATATTATGTCTGCAGTACTTGCAATTTATAGATAATTCCATGCAGCATAAACATAAGCTAAAATAATTATTTGCTCAGCTCTAGTTAAGCAATTGTTCATGGTGCTGGGTATTATGAGGACAGTGATATATTAGTTCCAGGAATTGTGTCTTAAAGCAAAACTGCAGTCAGCCACTGTGCAAGCTGTTTGAAGGTGTGCAGGATTTCCATTCAAAATCACTGCATGAGCCTCTCTGGTGCAGATTTCATGGTTTTATCCAAATTAAAGGGAAGGTCAGTGCTCAGTCTTTGCCACCAGAGGTCTTCAAAGAACGTATTACAGATACTTTTTCAATGGCTGAAAATGAGAGGTGTATCACACAGCCACTGCTGACAGAAGTAGTTGGAAGCAATTTACTCAAGTACTTCAAGTCATTTTTTTGTCTGAGACAGAATCTGTGCCTTTCAGAATTGCTGATGGAAAATTGAAACAGCTCTGCTTGCTTTTCATCTCTGTCTGGATGAATCGTTTTCTACTCCCCTGCTTCATATTAGAGATTTTAATAGTGATGAGTTAACAAGACATTCTGATTATCTCTTGAACACATGTAACCAGATACTTTGGCAAGAAAAATTTTGTATTCCCTCAGTTGGTTACTGAGGGATGCTGTGGACAGCAGTGAGGGGAGAGGTAGAGGTGCTGAGGATGACCTTGTGGAGAAGGTTCTGCCAGGCCAGACCTTCCTGCAGCACTCACAGAGCAGAGCCCAGCTCTCAGAGGAGCTTTTTCTGGCCTTGTCCTGTTGCCCCCTCTGGGTTAGGATGCATAGCCTGGTATTTTGGATCTGCCTTTTTGAATACTGTGGGGCAAATATATTTCTCATGCACCCTTTATACCTTTCCTCCATGCTTAAGGAAGGGAAAACATTTCTGGCAAAGTAATTAATTTTCAAAACTAGGTTCTTCCTTTTTCATTGGCTTTGTATTAGCATGTGGTGATATTTTAAATTACAATAATGCAAAAAAGATACAATTGTGTTTCTGTTATGAAATAAATTCCCAGTGATGCTGCATGTCTTTTAAAGTCATCTGAATAAAGTCAATATTTCAGTTGAAAGAAGTTGTTCACTCATGTAAAGATTTATCAGTTATAACTTGTAATTCTTTTTTTATAAATGAAGACTCAGATGATTTTTTTTTTCATTTTTAATGAATGAAAAAGCAACAGAGAAGGAACAAGGGAATGTTTTGATTCTGTTTTCCATTTTTGGTCTTTATGTCTGAAAAAGGTCATTATTTTGGCTGTGAATATGATACGGTATCACTGGGAGTTTGTTAGAGTAAGAAGGAAGGAAAAAGGGATGGAACCTTGATACTGCTGTGCTCGGTGGTGTGGATATCCTGAAGAAGAGGGGAGCTGCAGTATTAGGCTCCAGTTGTGTTACAGATGAGAACAGCCTCCTCTTTACCTCTCTCCCAAGCCTCTGCTTGTGTCCTTTTAAAGCCAAATAAATGCCACTTTGTAGCAGTGGGTCCTCCACAGGGAGGAACTTTTAGGAAAGAAATGCAAGGTGGACAATACACTTCCCTTATGTGGCTGTCTTTCTTCAGCCAGTGTTCCCTCTGCACCCTGAGGAATGCTGGAGCATGTCTGGGCACAGGGCACAGCAGCTGCCTCTGCTCCCATTAGGGCTCTCAGTTTTGATTTTCCTGGAGAAATGCTGTTCTAAGCCAGCACTTCTGAGTATCATTGGCTTCATATGTGGCTGTGATGCCATCACAGGGCAACAGTTTTACTGTCTGATTTTTGGAATTTGGGAACTT